AAATATTATTTCGGGAGAAACAAAAATGTTTATGGCTTTTAAAAAAATTTTCCCTGTAAGTTAAAAGTAGCTTTTTTGAATCTCATTGTGTGACGGAGTATTTTTTGTAATTCAAATACCTACTTGAACAGAAGACTGTCGATGGGAAATTTGGCACTGTTTTTTTGGCCAATAAAATGTAAAGATTCTGGGCATATCTGAGAAGTAGCAATGCAGAGGCAGATTTCTAATTCTCCATTCTGAAATTAGATTTCATGCAGAGTATAGCTGAGGTAGAAAGGCTGTGGGTTGCTTCACCACTGGTTTAGCACTTTAAGCCTATGCCAAGTTGAGAAACACCAGACTGTATCTATGAATTGCCTCACCAGATGGTGATGAGTGCTGTGGAGAAAAGCAGAGTGTGGACAGGTCATGCCAGAGGTGGGTGGGTAGTGATGGGGGTTCAAGGTAACATTGAATCAAATCCTGAAGGAGGTGAGGGGGGCAAACTGAAAGAAGAAAGTTTTATTCAGAGGAAATAGCAAGTACAATACCCAGACGAGAACCAGGTGTGTTGGAAGTCAGCATAGCTGCAGCAGAATATAGGAGAAAAAGTGGTAGAAGATTAAGGTCAGAGGGGTAAGGGCTTTGGACCAGATCACCAGCTCATATGTGGCCTTGTAGGCCGTTGTAAGGACTTTTGTTTTTACTCTGCAGGAAGTGGAACTGTTAGGAGGTTTTAAAAAACAAAGTAGGAAAAAGTAGGAACAAAGTCTGACTTACCTTTTTAAAGGATTTCTGGCTGTTACGTTAAAAGCAGATTATAGAGGAATAAGGAAACCACTTAAAAGGCCATCGCAGGAATCCCAGTGAGGGGTGATGGAGGCTTGGAAAATCTTTCTATTTCCATTTGGTGGTAGCATAAAATCTACAAGAAGACAAAGGAGGAAGAAGAATAGAAATATTTCACCACACTGGCCCCTCTCTATCTGCCTTTTAGAATACCTCTTAAAACAACTATCACCAATTATCCCATTCTAGCTTCCCCCTTGGTTTAAATAGTCTAAATCTGCTATTTATAACATAGACATTATAGA